GAAAAAGCGAACATTTAAAATGATCCATATGGAATTTGGCACAAAACCTTTTTTTCCACTCCTCAGTGAGTCATCGGGGAAACCCCCCCCCCCCCACCACGTGCCCACATATGCTTGCCAGATTGTGTGTGTGTGTGTGTGTGTGTGTGTGTGTGTGTGTGTGTGTATGGAACACGTGTGTACTACATGTCAGAGGAACTCTTTGTGTAGTTCTACAGGAAACAAACGAGGTGTTGAGTTGTTAGTAACTATAGCAACTCCCTTCAGAGAGTTTTTTTAAAAACACACAGGCAGGGAACCCCCCCCCCCCCCCCAGATGTGCACAGCTTCAGATAAAGAAGACGTCATGTTGACAGTCAGAATGAATGAATAAGAAGGTGAGGTAGCTGGTGAGGTAGCTGGTGAGGACGTCAGATGATTTTTCAGTTTCTCTTTCTTCTCGTGTTTGTTTTTGTGAATATAAAAGATCTGCCGAAGATCCTGAAACACGTCGTCACTCGTCGGGTCGATAGTTCCGCTTCATTGTGGTAGATCTAGAGCAGAGGGCCGCCATTAATGACACATCACAATGTGTGGGCCAGCGGACCAATCAGAGCAGACTTCATCCGAGACAGAGGCTGAAAAGAGGAGCTGCAGCGACGTCTGATGTTTTCTGAACATTAGAGCATGTGAACTTTTTCAAGTGCTACACACTCGAGTCATGAACCTGAATATGAGCAGAACACAAGTAAATATAGTTTTGGTTCCAGCGTCTCATTCAGCCGCCTGTTGTCTGCGTGTGTGTCTGCGTGTGTGTCTGCGTGTGTGTCTGCGTGTGATCCGTCAGGACAGAGTCTCCTGCAGGCGAGGAGAAGGAACGACACCCTCTCCATCTTGAGATATTTTGAAAAACATCCACAGAGAAATGTCTCCGTCTTTTTGTTCCACTGCGTCCACAGTGCGGTGGAAATGGCATCCTAGCAGGCCTGATGACAAGGCCCGGGTTGCCGTGGCAACGGCATAGCAAAACAGGGGATGGGGCGGGGGGGGGCAGCGAGTGGGCTTTTTTCTCTCTTTCACTCGTCGAGGCGGGGTGTGTTCTCGTTACTGGGCTGGACAAAGATAGCTGTGAGTCATCCTTGAGGCTGGGAGCCGAGCCAACACATTCCTCCTCCTCAGATTTCTCGTCTCCATTATTCTCCCTCTTTCTCTTCACCTTTTTGTCTCTTTCTTTTTGCATTTCCATCTCACCCCCCCCCCCCCCTTTACTAGAGGGCCCTCCTCTCCCCCATCTCACTCTGTCTCTGTCCAAGAGCTCCCACTTCTCTTTGTGCTTTGAAAATCGTCACTTTATTTGCTCTGTAACTGATTAAAGCCTTTCGCAGCTCCGATATTGAAGCTGATGGAATGATTCAACTTAACTTTTCATTTTTTCGGGAGAGCAGACATTTGCATTCAGAGAGACCGGAGGTCAGGACGCGTGGTTTACAGTCAAACAACAATAAAAAGCGAATCTAAAATAGATATTTTTTGAATTCCCTCTGTCTGTGCACTGCTGCCATTTTGGCTCAAACGTTCCTCTCACTTTGCATCTGAAGCTGCCGCCTTGTTTCTCTTATCTTGACTTTTTTAAATCTGTCTTCTTTACGTCATTTCGCAGTATCGCATTTGTTCCCATGCCGACTGTGTATTATTTATGTGAAGAGTGTAATTCCTGAATAATAACTGAAGCGACTCCACATGCGTCCTGAGCTCAGACTGAGACACTTTGATGCTTCACTGGAACAAAATGTAAACAGAGTGTCGGAGGATATTTATCGTGGAACGCTGTAATTATCCATGGATTATATAAACGGGTACTCCCAGGCAAACACACACAGACACACACACACACACCCTGCAGACATACAGTCGTGCTGTATGTGCTGGTGTACAGATTTTACAACACATCAAGCAGAAAGACGCACTCTGTACATTAACGCACTTAACCTACACGGTGGTACACACACATTTCGACGCTGCAACACGCAAACACGCACCAATACAACCACACACACAAAGAGAGAGAGGACTTTCTAACATCCTGGAGCCAACATGTTAAAGATCAGTCAGTCAGCTGAAGTAGTTACTGGTCCTGTTTGTGCATTTTACCCGATCCACTGATTTCTGTTTGTAACACAACCGTAGTGGTTTAACTCATTCGTGTGAATACGCAATAACACAACCAGCTACTAAAAGCTTGTTGTCGGGTATTCTCTCAGTTTCATCATCACATTTTTTCTTACGATGAGGAAACAAACTGGCAGCAGAGTGAATCAAATCCTGTTCTAACCTTTAAGTCTCTCCTGGACTCGATCCACCGGGTCCATTAGTGCGCATCAGCGTCACAGCAGTCACCTGCGCACACTCTGCACGCTCTCATCAGTCTGCACAATCAGACAGAAAGAGCTGTGCAGTCTCCAGGAATGTTTACCTCCAGCTACACACAAAAGAGAAAAGGTGTGTGTCAGCGTCTCTCTTTGTCTCGCTCTCGTTTAACAGACCTCTTCGAGCGCTTTTTCATTTTAATCACGAAACACGTTAACGAGCAGCACCGTGGTGAAATGTTCCACGATACCGACAGCATTCTTCTCCTCTCACCTGCAGAGCAGCACACGCCTCAGGGAGCCAGAAGTTAACAGTCAAACGTTTTACCGCAGCAGCTATGCCTCATTGTACCCTGGTTACTAATCTGCCTGTGTGGTAATCTGCCGCCTCCACACAGATTGATGAACGTGCTCTTATGCAGGGAGCCGTGTTACTGTAGGCCTCCGTCTCTGTGGCTTCAAGAATTCAGGGAATGTGTGTGTGTGTGTGTGTGTGTGTTTCTCATGTTGTGGGGGACCTAAACCTGTTGCAGTCACATGATTGGGACGTGTCTGTCCTCTGGGGACAAAAGGCAAGTCCCCATTAATGTTAATCATGAATGTATTAAGGTTCAGAGGTAGATGTGAAGTTGTTAAATTTAAATACTTGCACCGGGAGCAGGACTCCATGTTTTTTACAGGAGTCCAGACTGGACAGAATAAACCTTTCGAGTATTTATGACGACTGAAGGTTTCCACAGGTTCTCTTTCATGTTTGGGTGGGGGGGGGGGTATTCAGCTGCGAACATGCGTGTATGTGTACATGCGTGCTTGTCGGTGCTGGCGTGTTTTCCTGACATTCTTTCTGCACATATGATTATAACCTCAGGTACACCTGGGCTGTAAAGACTCACATTCCTGTCTCTCTCTTTATGATCTGAAAGTTTCAAACAGAAAACGTCGACGGAGCTTGTTGCTTCTTGTGTTTTCACAGTTGCAGAAACGTAGAGTTACTTGTCGAGAGCAGACGATCTGCCCTTGAGCAAGACTTTTACAATTAGCTGCTAAGTGGTGGAGGACTGTGTTTGGACTGAGCCATGATTGAGGTTTATAAATACAAATTGGTGCAGTGCTGCAACAATAGGAATGTATGAACATCTGGTCCAACATCTGCTCTTTTCAATTCAATCATGGACTCTGGAGAAAGTCACTGTTGCATTTCCACAGCCTGTATAGATGCTGGTTTCTTAGATAACCCAATATATATATATATATATATATATATATATAACACAGTACCTCTGTAGAATAGAAACAAGCTTTAGTACTTTCATTGTTTTCTTTATTTTGTTTCTGAGGTTTTCATGTCTAGTTTTTTGTGTTTGTGTATTTAATCTGGATGCACTTAAACTTTCTTTCTTTCTTTTCCTATTTTTTCCACTTGTATTTCCACGCTGACGCTCTCAAAGCGTGATCGTACATCTGCAAAGCATCAGCGCTGTGTTTTCTGGTCATAAAAGTCTCATTAGTTGTTTTTTTTTTTTAATTCAGCAACTTCTTCTTTCTTCAGTATGTATAGTGAGTTTGTCGTTCACTCGGCCTGTTTGACGAGACGCTGGCTGTTCTCACAGGCGGCTGGCAGTGACCAGAGGACTGTGAGGTCTGCGTTAGCAGCCTGGAAGCCATCTCCTCCAGCAGATGGCCATTATTAGTGACAATGAAGTCTGGCCTGCAGGGCCAAACAGAATAACGGGGAGCCCATTTCCTCCTTGGCTGTGCATGACGAATATTACAACCTTTCTCTCCACCGTTCTCTCTCCTCCTCTTCTGCTGGGAGTGTATTATTTTTCCATGGCTGCATCCAGGTTTTCATTTTTATAACTTCTACCCAGTTCTCTCAATTTGTTTCCTGTGGAGACGTTAGAGGAGAGGAGGGGCACACATGCACAGGCACATGCGCAGCAAACGTGAATTCTTTTAATTCAACACAGGTTCCCTTGAGATGGAGCTAAATAGGCTCCTTTTCATTAAAGGATGCTCATAACAGTGCACTGATGTGCTGGCCTGAGTTCAGTTCACATCGACAGCGGACAACTGCTGCTCTCACTGGACTGTGCAACGGCAGCTTGTGTCATTCACAGCTTCTGTCACTGCAGCACAGTTACTCACCGCTCAGGTTTCAGCAACACGTTCTTATGAAGTCCGAGCAACTTTAACGGAAGCTTTAAGTCAGAGTTTTCAAAGAAACACATCGACTGTGTGCAGAGGAGAGAGCATGATGTATGAACCTCGTGCAGAGAAGGAATCTGTAAATGTACAGCACCATTTAAACTCAGAGTCCTGTAGTTTCTGTGTGATCCTGCAGAAAAAAACAGAAAAACAAAGAAACAAAAGAAAACCTAACGTCCTCTGAGGGAACGTTTGAGTCTGTGAAGCCGCGGGATAAATCACAAAGCTCCGAACTGACCATCCATCTGACATGAGTCACTAAAGGAAATTGTCGATTAGATGATGTTGATGAGAACTTTCATTTCCTGAAAAACAAAGACATGCTCCACCGCCAGAAGAGGAAGAGAGACCACAACTACACCCCCCCCCCCTGACAGGGATTAGACAGAAATAAGCATCAGAAGGTGAAAATGACACTAACGTCCACATCGTCCTCTGTCTTCACAGGAACAGTAGGAAGGAGTCGGACCTGGAGGCGGCTCTGGCCAGGCTGAGGGACCTGGAGGCCTTGCTCAACTCTAAGGATGCTTCACTCAATACTGCCCTGGGGGAGAAGCGGAACCTGGAGGCTGAGGTGAAGGACCTCAGGGCCCAGCTGGCCAAGGTAAAAAAAACAAATGGGGTTGTTTATATCTGGGATATTTTTTTACAAAGCCTTCGAATGTCGTATAGTTTGTTTCTAACATTTCTCTTTGTGTTATATTTCTTTCGTCTTGTATTTATCTTACCTTGCTGTAGAAACACAAACATTATTTTTATCATTACTTTGTCCCTACACATTATTTCCCTCTCATTTAAAAAACATTGCATTGATTGTCAGAGAGTTTGTTTCCCCCCAGTGACGGACGTGTGAGATGAATTTCCTCTGATGTGCAGAAGCATCTCACTGAAAGTCTTAATTTAATACGACCCTTGCAGTCAGTTGATTATGAATGAGGACAACGTGGAGAGGAGTTAGCGTCGTCTGTTTGTTTTATCAATGAACTGCACTTCCAGGACTCATGCTGAGAGAGTTGTGGCCTTCCTCCACCTACTGGTCACACGTAGGAACTGCAGGTTTTGCCTTGAGAGAAGAGTTCGTGACTCGAACACTGCTGCACAGATTTCACCCTGGGCTGCGTTAGATTTTTTGGAACATTTCTCTCATCTCTCCTTCCTCTCCTCCCTCCCAGTTGGACGGAAACTTGGCCGATGCCAAGAGGCAACTGCAGGACGAGATGTTGAGGAGAGTGGACGCGGAGAATCGCCTGCAGACCCTGAAGGAGGAGATGGAGTTCCAGAAGAACATCTACAACGAGGTTCCTACTCTTCACCTCCACCCTTCTATTCTTACTCCACCGTCTCAGTCATCTGTCCTACTTTTCATCTTCCACAGGATATTGATTCGCTTCCAACCACCTACTTGTTTTGCTTTACCCCTTCAGATTTCTCTCAGCAGATCACAGTTTTTCCACTTCATTGCTGTATTTTAACATAAATATTATAAAACACAGTAAAACTAGCGTCATAGTCACATTTTTAAATTTGTGGTCATGCTCCAGACGCACTGGCAACATGTGTGTTTTGTTTTTATCAAATTGATTAGACGTAGTTTAAAGGTCACAGGTCAGTGGATTTAAATAAAATCAGCGACTGATTAATTACTGCAATTACATTCAACTATAACAAGTTACTGGTGAATTCTTTTCTGTACAAATCACATCCTTGATTTAATCAAATAATAAAATGACAAGTCAGCTGAAGATCTAACATCAGAAACACTTAAGTTGGTTTTCCAGCTTCTAACGTCACTTCCTCCTCTCTCTGCTGGCGTCTCCAGGAGTTACGTGAATCCAAGCGCCGCCATGAGACTCGCATGGTGGAGATTGACGGCGGGCGGCTGGATTTCGAGAGCAAGCTGTCCGAGGCCCTGGCTGAGCTGCGAGCCCAGCACGAGGATCAGGTCCGCATCTACAAGGAGGAGCTGGAGAAGACCTACCAGTCCAAGGTGAGTCTGGAAGCTGCTGGAGACGCAGCTCTGTTGCCACCTAGAGGAAAAGCAGAGGCTCGGTTTTCTTTGTAGTTGTGGGTTTTTCTCATTAAATAGATAATCAGATAAATGATTTATTTACACCCTGGAAAACAATCAGAGTCTTGTTTATCTGCTTATTGATCTAAATTCAGGAGGAAAATGTATTTCATTGAACCTCTGTCCCCTGAGGAATAAACTCAACAGATCTTTTTGACATTTTTTTGTGTGAAAGAAACTAAAACTAAACCGATCTTTATTTACTTAATTGACCCTTTTAGGAAACTTCTTTGGGAATTACTGTTTCTAACTCAGTTAAATTAATTAAAAGGATTTTTAATTCAGAGCAGTGAACCTCTGCCATTGGCTGACTGTAGCGTCTCTCTGTCCGTCAGCTGGAGAACGCCCGTCTGTCAGCTGACAGCAACAGCCACATGGTGGGAGCCGCCCACGAAGAGCTGCAGCACACGCGTGTTCGACTGGAGAGCATGTCAGGACAGCTCAGCCAGCTGCAGAGACAGGTACCTGACGTCACCGAGGATGTTGTGAAACACCGCCCTGAGCATTATTGATCAAACATTGACCTTCACCTTCACACATCGACTTGTGTTTGTGCTGCTTAACTAACCAAACCACTGTGCGTTCCCTCCACGTCAGCTGTCGGCGAGCGAGGCCAAGGTGCGCGAGCTGGAGGAGGCGCTGACGCGGGAGCGGGACCTGATGAGGCGGCGGCTGGAGGATAAAGAGCGTGAGATGGCTGAAATCCGAGCCCGCATGCAGCAGCAGCTGGACGATTACCAGGAGCTGCTGGACATCAAACTGGCCCTGGACATGGAGATCAATGCGTACAGGAAGCTGCTGGAGGGAGAGGAGGAGAGGTGAGATCGTTTCCTCAGCTTGTTCTGCTTCTTGTGTCAATGATGTTTAGAATCAAAGGTTTGAATCAGAACAACGTGACCCGGACTCCCTCTCTTCTAAACCTCTTTCCTCCATCCCTCCCCAGGCTGCGTCTGTCTCCCAGCCCTCCACCCACCAAGGTCTCGATTACACGAACCTCTGGCTCAAGCCACAGCCACACCAGCCGCCTGCTCCAGTCCTCCGCCACCGCTTCCAGCAGCCGCAACTCCTCTGGTGCGGCCAGTTCCAAAAAGCGCCGCCTCAACGACAATGACAGCGAGACGTCCAGCATGGCGGGCGGCACCGTGACCAAGACTCGCATCAGCCAGCACGCCTCAGCCAGCGGCCGCATCACGGTGGACGACGTTGACCTGGAGGGGAAGTACATCCGTCTCAACAACAAGGCCGACGAGGTAACCGAGTCCATCCATCGTCTGGATCTTTAAACTCTCTCTGGTTCAGTGAAACTGCTGTCACACAAGTGGTAATCACCTTCTGTACGCGATGTCATCTTCAATTGACATTTCTTAATGAGTTACATCCAAACGTGTGATTAGCTTGGCGTCGAGTTTTACTTCTGCTCAGCAGGTTATGTTTCATCGGGTGTTTGTTATTTGGCAGGATGAAAAAAAGAAGAAAAGAGGATTTCTGTGCTAAAAATCTTGATCTTGAGATTTGAAATGTGTTGTTTCATTCAGCCAACAAATTATTCCTGATTGAACCTTTTCCATGTCTCTCCTGTAGGATCAGCCACTTGGCAACTGGCAGGTGAAGAGACAAGTCGGGAGCACCACCCCGATCGTCTACAAGTTTCCCCCGAAGTTCACCCTGAAGGCCGGAGGAACCGTGACCGTGAGTATTGTTCGTCCATTCTCAGCATTATTAAAAGTTCACCTGTGTGTCAGGAGCAGTCTGACAGTTCCTGGTTGAGTACATGATCCCCTGTGACCTCCGACCTTTTCAGATCTGGGCTGCATCTGGCGGCGGAAGCCACAACCCTCCCACTGACCTGCTGTGGAAAACCCAGAACTCTTGGGGCACCGGCGACCTCCTGCAGACCAGCCTCATCAGTGCCAACGGAGAGGTCTGACCTCACTTCACCTCCATTACACATATCTGTTCCTTTGACTGCAGTAACTCACCATGTTGTGACTTCACCACCAGGAAATGGCCATGAGGAAGGTGACCCGCACCCTCTTCCACGATGCTGAAGAGGATGATGACATGGTAAAAAAAAACCCCTGAAACACACGAAACGTCCAGTAAACCTGAGCTCATGCGTTAAACATCGGGGAACATCACGACTCTCGGCTCCTCTCCCGGTGGAGCGTCAGCGTTAAGTGACTCACCTCGTTGTGTGTCTCCCCCTGCAGGGCGCTCACAGCACTA